TGCCCCAAACCCCCTCCCCAGCCCCAAAACCCTCCTGGACTCCCCCCAACTCCCCTCTGTGTCCCCCCAGGACCCCCGCGATGCCCCTCCGCCGACGCGCGCCGAGACGCGCGAGGAGCGCATGGAGCGCAAGGTATGTCCAGAACCCCCCAAAACGGGGGGGCAAACCCCCCCAAAACTGGGTGCAGCCCCCACCAAGGGTACTCAGCCCCTTCCTCACCAGGCTGGGGGTGCTGGGGGGGTCCCCAAAACTGGCACCAAGGGGGTGTAAACCCCCAATATCCCCTAAATTTCAGCTTGTCCCCAATGCCAGACTTGGTTCATCCCCCCTGGGTTTTAGGGGATCCTGCTGGGTTGTGCCCCTCCCCCCTCCACCGCTGGGGTTTTTTGGGGTCCCCAGTGGATTTTGGGGGGCTGTGGGTGGAGCCTGTGGGTTTGGGGACCCCCTGAGGTCACCCCAACCCCCATTTTTTTATCATTTTCCCCCCTTTTTTTCCCCAAACAGCGGCGGGAGAAGATCGAGCGAAGGCAGCAGGAGGTGGAGTCTGAGCTCAAGCTCTGTAAGTTGGGGGGTCCCATGGGGCTGGGGGGGATCCCGTGAGGCTGGGGGGGTCCCCCCTTTTCCTCTGACCCCTCCTGACCCCCTCCCCCCTTTTTCCTCTTTTCCCCCAGGGGACCCCCACAATGACCCCAACGCTCAAGGAGATGCCTTCAAAACCCTGTTCGTGGCCAGAGTGGTGAGTGCTGGGGGGAGAAAATGGGGTCCCCCCCAATTTGGGGGGACTCCCACCCATTTTTGGGGTATCCCCAGGTCCTTGGGGGTCTCCTCTCAATCTTTGGGGTTCCCCAGTCCATGGGGTCCCCCTTAATTTTGGGTTGTCTCCCTAGTCCATGAGGTCTCTCTTTATCTTTGGTGGTCTGTGGTGCTTGCCCCTACTCTGTGGGGTTCCCTCCAATCTTTGGGGTCTCCTCCAGATTTTTGGGGTTTTCCTCAATCTTTGGGATCTCCCAGTTCTTGGGAACTCCAATTTTGGGGTCACCCTTCTTCATTTCTTCCCAGAATTACGACACGACGGAGTCGAAGCTGCGCCGAGAGTTTGAGGTTTACGGCCCCATCAAGAGGGTGAGTGGGGGGGGGTCACCCCCAAAAAATGCCCCCCCAAACACCCCCGTGCTGTCCAGGAGGGTCACACCTGTCCCCAAATCCATATTTTGGGGTGTTACACCTGTCCCCTCACACCTTGAGATGTACCTGGCATGCAATCACATCTCTGTGACCCCCTAAACATCCCTGTGACCACTGCCCGCTGCCCGGGGGTGTCACACCTGTGTTTCCCCCCCTATTTTTGGGGTCCCTCCCCTGTCCCCACCTGTCCCTCACCTGTCCCCACCTGTCCCTCACCTGCAGATCTACATGGTGTACAACAAGCGCTCGGGGAAGCCACGTGGCTACGCCTTCATCGAGTACGAGCACGAGCGGGACATGCACTGTGAGTACCCCCAGACCCCCCCC